AGTCTGACTTTAGTGACTACTTTTGTGATTCGTGACTTGTAACTATCAGTTTAGACTTGTTACTTGACTCGGACTTGCAAAAATGAGTTGGACTTGCACATTATGACTTGTTACCAACGCAAGTCAGAAAAGTATTCAATCAAACCCAATACAGTTTTGAACTTGGCGTATCAGCTTCCACCTTGCGTTCTTAAAATAGCCATTGTGTGACTTTGCTTGGCAAGGCCATGTCTGAATCACTTGGCTGTTGTAGTCTTGCACATTTCTTGGGCAGTGGTTGCATTTGTTCATTGTTTTCCTCCAACCTTCCAGGGGACCCAATCAACAGCTTCATTTAAGCCATAAGCCTGTATCTCACTGGGTGGCAACAGATTGCGACTAGTTGGAGACACAAAATCGTAAGAAAATCTGCAAATCTAGTGTCAATTTTCACTTGGACTCACACTGATTTGGTACTTACGATACATCTGCATAAGTCGCATGAATGTCACACAAGCTCCTGGCAAATTTCTGCCAGAGTATGCCTGGAGTTGATGTGCCGTTTGCATGAAGCTTTATATATGGCCGGGTCATGTGAGTCATATGACCTAACAGTAATTGCAAACAAATTGCAACACCATTATGAAACTGCGAATAAACTGCAATATTCGCACGACATTCGTGCAACATTGGTGCGAATGTCATGCAACTTTTTCTGAAGCAATAATAGTCACAAACTGTCTTATGTTGCACTTTGTTCACAATTTTTTCTCAATTAATTCACAATTTTGTCGCGCTCCCAGTGGTACCAGGGCAGTTTGCGCCTGTCTCATGATCGGAATGTCAAATTCCCATTTTTGTCTTCAACCAGTCACGATTTTCTTCTATAGGTCACCAACCCCTAAATAACCCCCAATATAAAGTTGTCTCATATTTCTTGCACTTTCTGACTAATGGAAACTAAATTGAGAAGGGTTTGAGACGATTTTTTGGAACTTTTTCAAAATTCCCACGACAAGAAAGTGAGGCCGTGTGACTCAACAGGGAAATTGAGAACCCCTGTGAATGTTTCAAGACATTTTGAAAACTCTTTCAGGAATGCCGTTCACAGTTTGTTGCCCACAGTTGCAGCCCAGTGAGATATGGGTTTTATATTTAATTATTCGTATCAGTTCATGATGTCACTCAGCCTAAAATTGAGACCAAAAATGGCATCCAACCTCGCAGGCCAAAAATTTCTCTGTGAAATGCTTCATGTAGTTGGTTGTAACATGCTTTCAAGGCACACTAACAGGATTAGTTTTATAAGCACTACCCATATTCCTGTGCCATATTCAGTGTCGGTCGGGTCTACTAGAGAATACCTACCCAAACAGTCACTACATATATATTTCCAATGTGCCCATCATTATTTGCTGAAAAGGTTTGATCATCCGAGGAGCACCCTGACCTCCCACAATCTGACAATGCAACGTGGCCCTGCCGCCATGTTTGTCCCTTTCAAAGCCACTAAGAATGTCAGAGTCAAAGTGGGGAGAACGGGCGGGTGAGGACTGCTTGGGTTGGCATTCTCTAGTAGATCTGACCGACACTGCAGTGGAGGAGGAGTCTACTGTTCTCCACCTACACAAACAGTCATTACATATGCAGAATTGCACTAGTCTAGGTGGGGGTTGGCAACGACACATGTAATGCCAAGAATGCACATTCAAATATAAAGAAGGAAGAATGTATAAATTTAAGAAATAGTAAATGAACTTTGTGATGACTTCTTGTATGTCCGTCCTACTGGAGTACTGTTTGACCTTTGCACTCGGTGCATTGTGGCAGCCATTTGCGGTGTCACTCTGCGTCCCTAAAGTAGCAGGAGGTAGAGGGAGACTTCCAACATGCAGCTTTGCAGATGTCTGGAATGGAAACAACTCAAGAGGAAGACTACGACGTAGACACTGTTCTCACATCATGAACCCTGATGCAGTGTTGACTGCCAGATTGGATTAGCAAATCTAATGGCCGAAGCTGTCCAGCGGGCAATAGTGACTGATGTCGCTGGACGGTGTGGTGTCATGATAAAAAGGGGTTATCATCCCTCTCATATTAATGTTTTATTCAGATATCACCTCAGGACATGAACAGGGCAACAAAGTTTATCCACATCGTCTTCAGGATGTAAGGAGATGGAGGGTGCCGAGATATCAGAAGGATCGAGTGAGAGAGTCTGACCCTTCGTCAGGAAGCCAATCGAAGGAAGGAGGAGAACACCACATGGCTCCCAATGTAGACAACCTTCAGCAATGGGGAAAGCCTGTAGTTTGCTGCCTCCTCTGGAGGTAACCATTGTCAGGAGAAAGGCCAACCTGACATTGGTGTGCATAAGGGAGGCATGATTTAGGGCTTGAGGAAGGGCTGGAAAGCATCTAAAAAAACCAGCTTAGGTCTCATGAACAGACCAATTTCCCAACAAGGGGACACTGGATTAACATGCCATGCAGAAAGTGATGGAGTGCCATGCTGCTTAATGGAGACAGTTAAATCAACTTAAAACCCAACGTATATGGTAACTAGGGCTGAACTGTCGATATGAGTTGTAGATAGTTGCAGCTCCGAGTGAAAGAAGTACAAAAGGAAATCTGTTACAGTACTCAGAGGAGTATTAGCTGGAGCCAAAGTCTGACCATCGCAGCACATGATGATATGCTAAATTCTGTTGTCATAAATTAAACAGGTTTGTGGATGACATCCCCGTCAACCATGGCCGATGCTTCACTAGAAAATCCGACTGAACTAAAACAAGATTACTAGACAATATTCAAACAATTAGAACTGATCAGTGGGAGCCAGGTGAAAAAAATCCCCAACCTTGGATAGCAAAGGATGTCCGGTCTGGCCGGGAGGATAATCGGATGGCACCCCCCACGATTCTGTGTATGACCCGCGTTTGACCCCAGGCCACAGTGAATGAATAGTCATGAATATTCTTGTCATACGTATGCGAAAGCTGATGATATTTCTAGATATGTTCCGAAGTTTCTTGTGAGGAGTTTTCTCATAAGATTAACATCTTGATGTTCAGTTCAAGTTTGTGGGATCATCAAGTTCCCGTACTTGCGACGGTCATCATGCCCTCGCCGTTTCATCTTGAGCCCGGTGATTCTTATTAGACGTGGTCTTCATCCCAATAACAGCTTATTTTTACACCACCAAGGACTGAACTGTTTTTTGCCATCTGTGGAGTCCAGCGCACTTCACTGGTAGTGCCTTACCTTCTCACCCATAGGAACACCTTTTTTACAAGGGATATTCCCTATCATTGTGAAATAGTTCCATCAACAGTTTCTTTGTCACTATTTTCTAAGTGTAACATTCTCATTAAATCATATACTTGTTTATTTGTTCCTTGTATCAGTGTGATCTTGTTTGATTTCTTTATTGCATCAGAGAAAATTCAAGCTTTGGAATAATTAAGTAGTTTGGAGTTTTTCGGATCGTAACAGTGATCAGGAGTATCTGACAGTGATCTTGTTCTATCTTGGAGAGGACCAGCGGAATTAACGAAATAGACAAAAAGGCATACTGAGCATGCCCATCAAATCAGACTGTAGGGCATCTGTGGCTCACACACAGAAAGAGAGAAACTCATGTGCAGAATACCGTGAGTAGAGTGTTGTATGGAGAAGCCAAGAGGTCAATGTGAGGCTCCTCTATCATTCTGAAGAGAGTGCATCCACCACTACGTTGTCCAACCCTGCCATGTGGATTGTCTGCACGATCCCTTGTCCTTTCCTCCTTTTCTTTCAGTCTTTATAGAT